TGTCTCTCGATCCACTTGCTAAACAACATGCCTCTGGAAACTCTATGAACTTTGGTAAATGACCATAGTTATAAAAAGGCCTCAGGCCTTTTGTTCATAGGGTTGCTATGAGTCGTGATCAACTCAATGGCAGTCAGCAACAACAACAAAAGATCTGACAACCAAGTATAAAATGTGAGACTTGTTAGGAATGCTGGAATTGAAGAGAAAAAAGAAGTAATTATTTGAACTTAAAAATAAGCTTTTTAAAAAATTTAAAAATGAAAATAAATACATAAACTTAATGTGGTGTTTTAAGGGTTAAAGGAATTGGGCTAGAGAGATGAATGGAAATGGGAAAGAAAAGGAGGATGTGGGATAAGTAAGGACTGCACTCATTGTCACAAAACAAAGTGCGTGTGATGAGCCTTCCCACAATTCACAATAAAATATTTAAAAAAAAAAAATATTTAAAAGAAGGAAAAAGCCCTTACTGCTTTCCTTCCTTCCCAACTCACTGGCTAGCACTCTGTTTTCCTTCTTCTGACTGAAGACAGAGTTGCTGGTCTTAACCTTTCCTAGATAATTGGCATCCTAAAATAGTGACACTTCAGTTACATTAAAAACAAGCCATTAAATGTTACATGTAGCCCTATGTTAAAGCACGCTACAGAAACAAAGTGTTTTTATTAACATTTCTCTTAAATGTGTCATTTTGGGGTTTTGTTTTTTGAGGGATTTTTTTTAACTTTGTTTTTATGTTCTGTACCAGTTTCAGCATACAAATATGGAGACATCAACCAGGCTTGAGGTTTTTGTCTAAGATGGACAGGGCTTTCAGCTAAATTCTGTAGTAAAACCTGATTGAACAATCCAGGTCATAACTTTGGATTAGTTTTGTATAAAGGTCTACTTCAAGCACCTCATCTATGCAACAAAATGAAGAGGGTTGGAAACATATCAGAAGAGTTCTGTGAGCCCCAGAAGGAAGGAAGGTGCTATTTCTACTCTTAGTGCTGATTCAATTCCAACAAACACAGCAGGTTACTTTTTTTTTTCTCCTGGAATATATGAAGCTGTACTTTTTTTAGGAGTTTTGTTTTGTTTTAACCTTTTTTTTTAACCCCCAAATTATATTATTATGTTCTAAGAAATGGGTTGCCTCCAGAAACTCTATGTATGAACAGTACTCAGGCCTTTCGTTCATAGGGTCACTATGAGTCATCTACAACTCGACGACACCTAACAACAACAAGAGAGTAACAGCACTTGAATGTATTTCCAGGATCATCCTTTTTTTTTTTTTTAATCATCCTTTTTTGAAGGTAAAGTGAGATGGTAGTGGTGTAACCCTAAGCACAACAGAACAAAACCCTGGCCAGCCCTGTGACATCCTCATGCTCATTGCTGTATCTGAGCCCGTTACACACCCACTGTGTCCAGGTGTATCTTGCTGACCCTCTACTTCTTCAGTCATTACATCCTTCCCCAAGGAGTGTCCCTCCTGATAACATGTCCGGTGTACTTAAGTCAGATCTCGCCATCCTCACTTCTGCGCAACATTCTGGCTGTACTTCTTCCAAGACAGATTTGTTCATTCTCTGGCAGTGCATGGGGCCTGACTTAGAGGCAGCAATTCTTCAGGCTTTCTAATTTTGTCCAACTTTCCTGTGCATATGAGGCAATGGGAAAGACTATGGCTTGAGTCAAGTGCACTTTAGTCCTCAAAGTGACGTCTTTGGCTTTTTAACACTTTAAAAACTTGAAAGAGATCTTTTATAGTACATTTGCCCAAGGCAAGTAGTGTTTGATTTCTAGACTGCAGCTTTCATGGGCATTGATTGGAGATCCAAATAAAATACAATCATTGGCAACTTCAGTATTATCAGATTTATCCTGGAGAGGGTTAAGCTGGGCTGCTTCTTGGAGGCAAGGATTCTGAGGCTTCGTCTAACATATTTTGGACATGTTGTAAGGAGGGACCAATCCTTGGAGAGGGACATCATACTTGGGAGGGTATAGGGACCGTGCAGGAGGGGAAAACCCTCTGTGAGGTAGATTGATTATGATCACGGTGGGTGTATTAGAGACAGTGCAATTGGCACAGGACAGAGCAGAGTTTAGGGCTGTTGTACATAGGGTGCTATGAGTCTCGAGTGACTCGATGGCACATAACAACAACAACAATTTATGATTTTGTTTATTGGCTCATTTATGAAGATTTTTGTCCATTTCCTCTAGGTTTTCCTATTTGTTTGAGTATAGTTTTTCATAATACTCTGTTAGCTTTTTATTTTAATTGGGTCTGTTGTGATGTTGCCTGATTCATCCCTTATTCAGATTATTTGCATCTTCTCCTTCTTTACTTTTCTGAGTTTTGCTAGTGGTTTATCAATTTTATTGACCTTTTCAAAGAACCAACTTCTAGTTTTGTTGATAGTTTCACTTGTTTTTCTGTTTTCTATTTCATTTATTTCAGCTCTAGTTTTTATAATTTCAGTTTTTTTAGAGGGTGTC